TTGGTAGAAGAAAGCTGGTTACTTTTCTTGGTAATTACAGTCATTTTGCCTTGTCTTAAAGAAATGATGCAGTAGAATGTAAAGTGTTTTAAATGTATTAGTAGAGTACAAAGTATTTTAATGTATTGTGATTTTTTTAAATTAACATGTGTTTTTCTGATGACACTGTGAAGCTTGTTCATTGCAAATTTAAAATTATAGAAAAGCTCAAAAAGGAAAAAAATTTAGATCACCTATAATTCCACAACCTTAAAGCCATTGTTCTTTAGGTATATGACCTTCCAGGCTTTTAAAAAGTGCACATGTATAGTGGTAAATTATTTGTGATTTCATTCCATTGCTGGGTTAATGTTTATGTTTACTTAAATGTGATACAAATCTACTACTTCACATTTCCTTATACCTTTTAAGTACCATGCTATATATACACAGTTTTCAATATTTGGTAATCATTTTCAGCCTTTTCTCTTCTTAGACTTTAACTTTTTTTCCCCTTAGACCATCCTTCTTAAAAATTAGAGTCTTTTGCTATTCAGGAGATTATCTTCCTTTTGTCAAATTTATATAATATGCAAAAAAAAAAAGGACAAGCAGAGACACCAGTACTGTACAGAATTCTGCAAACTTTTTAGCAAAGTGAAGTGAGTAGAACATCTTCAGTTTCAAAAAGAAGGCGAAATGGACTAATATAAAAGCCCTTCTATACAAAACAGAGTGCAAATAGAGTGTGATTTCACTTATCTGAGAAGCTCGAAGAGGTAAATTTGCAGAGACAAGAGCTGAGCGAAGGGGAGATTGGGGAGTTAGTTGTTAATGAGTTATTTTGAGATCATGAAGAAGTTCTGCCGATGGATAGTAGTGATGACTGTGCAGCATTGTGAATGTGCTTAATACCACTGAATTATACGCCTAAAAATGCCAAAATGGTAAATTTTAGTTTTATATGTGTGTGTATGCATGCTGTTGTTATTTAGTCACTAAATCGTGTCCACCTCTTTTGTGACACCATGGACTGCAGCCCATCAGATGCCTCTGTCCATGGGATTTCTTGGGCAAGGAGTAGGTTGTCGTTTCCTTCTCCAAGGAATCTTCCCAACTCAGGGATTGAACCTGAGTCTGCTGCATTGGCAGGCAAATTCTTTACCACTGAACTACCTGGGAAGCCATATATATATGTAAAATAATATACATTTATATATTATTTTAAAAGCACTTAAAATATGTCAAAAAATCCTGATGCATACAAATAGTCTTTGCCTCTATTTAGCAACTTTGACATTTAAGCTCCAGTTACTTCCTTTCAATATAAAGAATCTTTTTTTCCCCCTGTTAATTGCAGTATTTCTCTCATGCGAGCATTTTCCTTTCATAAGGCCCAGAGATTGTGTTTTGAATGGACAGAGGCCCACCCATTTGCTATAATTTAGAAACGTCTAGAATGTTATTTCAAAATACCAAGACTTCATAAAAACAAACCCTTGTTCATATTTTCATGAAAGTATTCTTGACTTTAGAAACTGATTCAAAAAAGTAGTAATTTCTTTTCTCCGTTAATGCTTTATTAAGCTTTGTTGACCTATATAAGGGTTATAGACGAGGAGGGGGTAGGGGATTAGAAAGATTAGTGAGCCTCCACTCCTAAAAATATCAGAGTGATTTTTTTTTTCTTAATCACATATCTGTAACCTGTCTACTCAGAGTAAACTAACTCTGAGATGAAACCTAAAGAGTGTATTTTCCATTTTTTACTGCATATGAATACAGTTACAGGCATAATGATAACAATGACATATGTTCTGAAATTTCTTAAATCTCTAATATATTTTAACATTTGAAAAAATTCAGAATCATTGTCCAATAGGTTGTCTTGTAAATCCTTGTTAGAGTGATAGAAAATTAGAGACTTTTTGTTAAGGATGCTAAACCCCTCCTTGTTCTGAAAACTTATTTTAGGCAGTTTACTGGGATATATACAACAGAGCAGGATAATAAGAAAGTAAAATGGTATTCAAAGATCAAGGAGAAATTAGCATAGAAACATTAGATAAAGTCACAGTTGCTGTTTGCTATTATTTTAAGATGTTATTCAATTGTTTCCTAGTAACCAAGACTAAAAGGAAAATGTGTTTAGTGATAAAATCTTTGTCCATCAGAATCTTACAAAGTTATTATATTGCTGAAGTTTATGGGAAAAATTAATTTCTTAAGAAGAGGAATCTCTTAAATTTCTTAGGAGAATTTAACAGAAAATATTTTTATCAATAAACAGTTGCCACAGTGACAAACACATACTTCCCCAGTGATCCCAGTGACTGTTTAATTGCCAGCATTTCTTCATTGTCTGCTGAGCAGCATTGCTACTTTATCATTAGGTGCTGTGGAAAAATGGAATTGTGAAAGAAAATGTGTTGGCTGCTAATAATGCAGTGGCCTTCAGACTGTTTACAGGGTGTTAAGATTCCCACAGAGCCCCCTCTGCATAGGAAAGTGAGCCTCATAGTGCTGGGTTCTTGGCCACATCAGTGTCCCTTTTATCTCATCTGCGAACTGAGTTTCTTTATAAAATTTCATGTGAACAAAGGATTTAACAGGTAAAAAAATATTTGAAAACCACTGGTCTTATAGTAGAGTTGAGACCATTGTTTAATAAAAATACATCCAAGATCCACCCAAACCGGACCCAACCTCCTTAAGGACAGAAACCCTGTAATACTGTGAGACATGCTGGTACCATGGGATTTGTTTCACATGTTTTGATGCCATGTAGGCTTCCCAGGTGGCGCTAGTGGTAAAGAATCCACCTGCCAATGCAGGATGCATGAGACACAGGTTCGATCCCTGGGTCAGGAAGATCCTTTGGAATAGGAAGTGGCAAGCTGCTCCAGTATTTTTGCCTGGAAAATTCCACGGACAGAGGAGCCTGGAAGGCTACAGTTCATGGGATCGCAAAGAGTTGGACACGACTGAGCATGCACACACAGATCAATATATAAAGCCACCCACCTATCTGTCTAGAGATTATATTTCATCTAGACTGCTTGGTATGTTTATGGTTTCTGTTTTTACATTCAACTCTTAAATTTGTATAGATTTATTTTAGAATATGATTTGAGTAAGGACACATCTTTGTTGATTTTTTTTTCCTGAAGCAACCAATCAGCTACCATCTTTTTCTTTTTTTTTTATTGATTGGTCATTCACTCTTCCCTCCTGATTTGAAGTCTTACCTTGTAATATCTTTCCCAAGAGCATTCTACAGTTCCTGCAGTTCCAATGAAACCGTTCTGTTTCTGTAGTATTTCTAAGAAGTGCTTTATACGTAAACCATTGCATTAAAATATTATCCCATGCTTGCTTGTTGTTCTAATTCTTGAATCAAAGACCACCCCCTCCCAGACATTTGCCCTTATCAAAGCTATTTCATTGTTAGCCAAATATATGTTTGTTTCATCAGTTCACAGTCAGGAAGAAAATAAAATATCGTTAAGTGCTGCCAAGCCGCTTCAGTCGTGTCTGACCCTGTGGGACCCCATAGACGGCAGCCTGCCAGGCTCTGCCGTCCCTGGGATCCTCCAGGCAAGAATACTGGAGTGGGTTGCCATTGCCTTCTCCAATCGTTAAGTGAGGATCAAACATTAATATTCTGAAGAATTCAGTGTAGTTGCAGAGATAGGAAAGTATAATCTTCTTGCTTTATGGTAGGGAATTTGTTGGTAAAGTGAACTTTGAAATTGAGGTAAATAACAGAATTTGAACTTTGATAAAGTAATCAGAATGCTCCTAAGTTAGCAACATTTCAGAAATTATGTTTTGCGGTTACCGATTTGAAAATGGATAAAATCAGCAGCACTTTGAGTAAACCCATATCACCTCCATCAGAGACGTAGTTAGTTATAGTTTCTAAATGCCACTAGAGCAGTTCTCCTAAGGCTCCACCAGTCTTGGGTGAGGGGGATTACATTCTGTCTCCTGCCCACTGCAAGGCTCCAGTCACAGATTGATGAAGCCTTGGTTTCACCAGGAGTTCCTCCAGAAATAAAAGATATATTATCCTGCTGTGGGTCACATGTGAACTGTTGTAGAAAAGCTGAATTGATGAAGGTATTTTGCTGAGAAAATATTAATAGTTACAGCATTTACAAAGCTGGCTAGTGGGTCAGAGTCAATTCTAGGTTTTGCTGTTGACTGAGTTGCCTGGAGTGCACATGCCTAATTTCACCCCCGCCCCCCAGTTTCTTTTGTACATTTTCTGAAATGTGTTCTGTAGACCATTATTGTCGGACCATTACTGTAGGCCTTGAAACTCCAGGGGAAGTTTCAAGGGTCTGTAGTTAAATGAGTCTGAAATGCTATGTACTAGAGACGCTGTAAGAAATGCATAATGTATAGTAGAATATTAAAGGCTCTAAGAAGTCTTACAGGAAAGAACTCTTATCTTTTGAACCTGTTTCTTGACATCTCTTAAGCATTTCTATTCCATGAAGTCCACTTTAGAAACCTGGATTAGGTGTCTGAGGCTACTAAACTTCTATAATTTTAGTTCAAATAAAAAATAGTTTTATCTTATTTCAGTGTGGTCCTTTAATTTGTAATATCAGTGTGGAATCTTAAGGAAACACTGGAAAAAGCCTTTGATTGTACAGTGTACTATTACTCATGGGTTTTAAACACAGCAATACAGACAAGTATTGTTTTGCCCTGTAAATACCAAAACTTTGGTTTGAAATGACTAGTCAGAAAATGGCCTAGTCGGAGGTTCCCCTGCTTTTCAAGAACTCTGTCCGATACGTTGGATTCTCTCCAGAATGTTTCTATAAAGTGCCGTTTGATGTTAGACACAGTTTACATACAATATTATTTTGGTTTGTTTAATGTAATTTCAGCTGTTTTTGGCTCAAAGGACATACAGTCATGGAAATCTTTTATAATGATTGTTCAGAAAATAATGTCTGGCATCCTAATAATGAAGGAAAATCAAGATATTGTCATTTTGTCTATAGGATGGGGGCTGCGGATAACATATATAAAGGACAGAGTACATTTATGGAAGAACTGACCGACACAGCAGAAATAATAAGAAAAGCAACACCGCAGTCTCTGGTTATCTTGGATGAATTGGGAAGGGGGACGAGCACCCATGATGGAATCGCCATTGCTTATGCTACACTTGAACATTTCATTAGAGATGTAAGTATCTTGCATACCTTTTTTGTACGCTGACCTGTTTCTAAATATTCAACACTATCTTTGTTATAGTTGATCCTATTCCTGCAATTGATCATTCAGCTGCTATACATGGAACTCAGGTAGATTGCCCCTAAATGATGTTGAGTTCTGTGATACGTCTTCCTTTCTTTAGCTGAAGTAGAATAAACCTGGTCAGTAGGAGAAAGGCCTCCTTGGCAGTATTTCCACCTAGAAACTGTATCTTACTATCCTTGGCGAACTAAATTAAGATCAAGGGCCATCTACCTGCAACCCAATCCTTGAGAAAAGAACCAGATAAAAGACAGTACCATTTTTGCCTTGTGAAATACTTTTTTTCAGCAATATCCTGAAAGATCTCCATATAAGGCCTTTGAGCTGATCTTCTTGAGTCTGTTTGAGTAACTTCTCTCCTTCAGTGTGTGTGTCCTTTTTTTTTTTCAGAGTTCATTCCTAAGCATCTCAATGTACAATTTTACTTATGTCAAACTTTCTATCCCTGTCACTTTCATCAAACTCTCCCCATTACATAGTTAATGATGATATATTTTGTTTTAAGATAAATATTTTCTTTAAAAAAAGAAATTTTGTATTTGCAAAAAGGTATAACTCAAGAACTTTTCTTTAATCATTATAGAAACTATATATCACGGATTCAATAGTCCTATATCTTCCTCCAAAACGCATTTTTTTAAACATTCAGTTAAGAATACTACTTAGCTGTAAAAAAGAATGAAATTTTGCCATTTTAATCATCGTAGATGGGCGTTAGGCTAAGTGAAATAGGTCAGACAGAGAAGGACAAATGCCGTAGGATATCACTTTTTATGTAGAATCAAAAAATACAGCACACTAGTGAATATAACAAAAGAGAAGCAGACTCAAAAAAAAAAAAAGAGAAGCAGACTCACAGCTACAGAGAACAAACTCTTGGTTACCAGTGGGGAGAGGGAATGGGGAGAGCTGTTATAAGGGTAGGAAGAAAAAGGGATGTTATGGGGTTATATGAAATCGTGTGTGAAACTTTTGAAAATTGTAACGTGCTATAAAACTTAAAGAATTTTTCATTTAATAAAAAATTCTTTCAGATATCCTTTTTTTGGAGCCTTCAGGAGCAAATTATGACAGAGCTGAATTTATCAACTTTGAATTTAATTGTATGTGCTCTGTAGCAGTGTATCAGTTACTATGACCACATAACACAATACCCCTAAACTTAGTGGCTTAAAACAACACTAGTCGTTCATGATCTCTTGGTGTGTCTGGAGGTGAGGAAGTCGGAGCGGCTGGCCTGGGTGGTTTGGCTCCGGGCTCTGCGGAGGTTGCAGTCAAGCTGTCAGCCAGAGCTGGAGGACCCTCTTACAGAGCGGCTCAGTCCCATGGCTGGCAGGTTGGTGAGGCGATTGGCCAGGGCCCTAATTCCTTACCCTGTGGAAGCACACTAGTGAATATAACAAAAGAGAAGCAGACTCAAAAAAAAAAAAAGAGAAGCAGACTCACAGCTACAGAGAACAAACTCTTGGTTACCAGTGGGGAGAGGGAATGGGGAGAGCTGTTATAAGGGTAGGAAGAAAAAGGGATGTTATGGGGTTATATGAAATCGTGTGTGAAACTTTTGAAAATTGTAACGTGCTATAAAACTTAAAGAATTTTTCATTTAATAAAAAATTCTTTCAGATATCCTTTTTTTGGAGCCTTCAGGAGCAAATTATGACAGAGCTGAATTTATCAACTTTGAATTTAATTGTATCTGCTCTGTAGCAGTGTATCAGTTACTATGACCACATAACACAATACCCCTAAACTTAGTGGCTTAAAACAACACTAGTCGTTCATGATCTCTTGGTGTGTCTGGAGGTGAGGAAGTCGGAGCGGCTGGCCTGGGTGGTTTGGCTCCGGGCTCTGCGGAGGTTGCAGTCAAGCTGTCAGCCAGAGCTGGAGGACCCTCTTACAGAGCGGCTCAGTCCCATGGCTGGCAGGTTGGTGAGGCGATTGGCCAGGGCCCTAATTCCTTACCCTGTGGACCCCTCCATGGGCTGCCTGAGCCTCCTTACAGAGGGGCGTCTGGCTCCCCCCGGAGGGAGGCATCCCAGGAGGCCAGGGTGGAAGCACGAGAGCGTTTGGTTTCGCCATCATGTTGTTGAGAACACAGGGCCAGCGCTCTTCAGTGTGGGAAAGGGTCCTCCAGAGCATGAGCAGCAAGAAGTGAAGATCGCTGGGGCCACGTTGGAGCCTGTCTGCCAGAAGCAGTTTGTCAAAATTCCAGAGAGTTATTTAAGAACCTTCAGGAACAAATTATGACAGAATTAAATTTGTCACTTCTGTTTTCATTGCTTCTATAGCAGTTTTGGAAAATAAAAAAGGTGGGGAAAAAAAGGGTAAGTTTAAGGAAAAATTAACCTGGAAGAAAGTCATTGAAGAGGATTCTTTAGGAACAAGAGTTCCTAACCTTTTTATGGATGAAAATCTATATTTTTCATGATGTCTGTTGGATTGCTAGAATGGGGAAGAGAGGAGGAACCGGGGAGGCTCTGTGCTGCTGCTGTAAGCTGAGTGTGTCCTTGCTGAGGGCAGTGGTGTAGCCCAAAACCTTAGATCTTCCAGCTAGAAGTGCCTGTCAACTGAGGGAAGGGGCTCCAGGGAGCCAGCTGGTCCTAAGATGCTTCAGGACAGATTTTAAGAGCAACTTGTCAAAGAAACCCTGCCTTAATAAGTTTATTTGTACTTGTTTTTAGACAGAAGACATATGTTCTGACTTTTAATAAGGCGAATGGCAGATGAACCAAAACTGGAGTTCTTTAATTCAGTTACCCTTTTCTGCTAATTTTAGACCAAGATTTGATGTTAACTTACCCTAAAACAAGGATTTCTAGAACACATAGAAGGTGTGCTCTAAAACAATGCTAATTAAGTAATCCACAAGTCCGTACTGATAGTAACAACACAAAAGTAAATTTTAAAATGGTGAGGATAGGGTGGGAAGAAGGGAAAGCTCTACATTACAAAATGCCAGCTAATAAATAGAGAAGGATGTTTTTTAAATTGACATTTATCAACTATGACAATAATGACCGATTCCAGCAGTGATGATCAGGAGATGGTAAGATTGTTGGAGAAAATGATATTCACACAGTTTCAAAGTGTCACCCCACAAGAAGAAAGATGTCAGTACAGTGAAGAATGGGCACACACTTAAACCAAATAATCAGATTTAGCACCCCCAATAATAGATAAGATTGACACCATATGCCTCTTGATGTGATATATTGGAAAGATTATGTCACCTACATGTATATGTAATATTCCTGGCATTAAATTTTGATATGAATTTAATCAGGTGAATTCAAATTGAGAGAGATTATGCAAAACAACTATCTTGGATACTTCAAAAATTTTAAAGACATAAAAGTCAAAAAAGAAGTCTGGATAAGTCTTCTAGATTAATGGGGACTAAATAGACATGACCAGGTGTACTACATGAGTCTTGATTTTTTTTTTTTTTTTTAAAATAACTAGTGCCACCTATNAAATGGCTGTCTAGATAAAGAATATATGAATGTTCATTGTACTTTTCCTGCAGCTTTTATGAAGGTTTGAAATTTTTTGAAATAAAGTTGGAGAAAATTTTAAATTTAAAAATAAAATAACTTTCATTATGTCTCACTGCTTTAGGTGAAATCCTTAACCCTGTTTGTTACCCATTATCCACCAGTTTGTGAACTAGAAAAAGGTTACTCACAACAGGTGGGGAATTATCACATGGGATTTTTGGTCAATGAGGATGAAAGCAAACAGGATGCAGGTATGAATGTTCTTGCAGTAAGTACAAGTATCATTTTGTTGGTTTTTGTGATGAGTAACTCAAAGTTCATAGGAACATGAAGTTACTGCTTATTAATAATAAAAACTGTGAATGTTGATCGTAATTGACATTTGTCCAACATCATTTTCTCTAAGCTTAAGGTCAAACAGAGTTTGCATTTCTCCTCACCATCTCTGAGTCCTTCTCTAGCCCTCTTTATCTCATTTTTTTCAAGAAGAAGGTGGCGTGAGGGGGAACATTTAGATTTTATTCCTAGGTCCATCTCAGGAAAGATGCCTTAACAGTCAAGTATATTAGTCATCTTTGAAAAATACTCAATATATTTCCCAAAATATGATTTAACATGAATTACTTACTAAGAGCAATATTCTATACTTGCTGTTCAGTCGCTCAGTTGTGTCTGAATCTTTATGACCCCATGGACTGCAGCACACAAGGCTTCCCTGTCCTTCACCATCTCCTGGAGTTTGCTCAAACTCGTGTACAATGAGTCGATGATGCCATCCAACCATCTCATCCTCTTTTGCCCCCTTCTCGTCTTGTCCTCAATCTTTCTCAGCATCAGGGTCTTTTCCAATGAGTGGGCTCTTGGCATCATGTGGCCAAAGTATTGGAGCTTCAGCTTCAGCATCAGTCCTTCCAATGAATATTCAGGCAGGTTTGGTTTCCTTTAGGATTGACTAGTTTGATCTCCTTGCAGTCCAAGGGACTCTCAGGAGTCTTCTGCAACACCACAGTTTGAAAGCATCAATTCTTCAGCACTCAGTCTTCTTTATAGTCCCAACTCTCATATCCATGTATAACTACTGGAAAAACCATAGCTATGACTATACGGACCTTTGTCAGTGAAGTGATATCTCTAATATTCTATACTGTACATATGTTTTATCTTAATTTGACAAGGAAAGTGAATCTCAGGTAAATTGGGTCCCCCATGTCAGGCACCTGGGTGGGAGCTAAGTTGAACCTAGAATCCATGCCCTCTGCCTGCAGGTTCTTTTCATCTCTGTTAGAACTGCTATGTGAGAGTTACAGTATTTTTTTCTTAGCCTTCCACTTACTAATCATGTCACAGAAATGAAACATTTCATGAAAAAAGAACATCATTCGCCAATAAAAAAATTCAAGTGCTGTTAGTAATGTAGTAGATTTTAGCATTTTTCCCCATGCTCAGTAGTAATTTTTTTTAAGTCACCAGCCTGTGGGCCAGTGATGGTTTATACAGTTGGTGTGCTACAATGGAAAATCCATTATCCAAGATACTACATAGTCCAGATTTTATTTTGGAAAAGTAATGAGTAAGGATGGACCTGAAAAAGAAATCAGGCAACTGGCCCAAATAAAACAAAGCAGTGGACCTGAGATAAATATAATGTTAAGCAATCCTTGCCTTTCACCACCATGCAATCTTAAAAACACACCATAAATTCTCTCATGGAAACAGTTTCACATCTATTCATCTGCATCCAAAGTGACAGGAGGAGCTTATAAGCTAAAACTCCATGGGATAAACAAAACAGATTTCACCAACAGGGGAGGGTCAGTGGTAAGCGTTTGATGTGAACTAACTGCTAACCCAGACCTTTACATCTTAAGTGTTTTGACTTTTTATTCTATTGATTTAAATTTTTGTTCATGAATAGAATTTTAGAAAAACTAAAGGATGCTAAAGACTTGTGCTAACAGCAGTGGTCCCCTCTTCCATTCTTTTTCTTCCATGGCCCCTCCTCCCTCCAATCCCAAGGCAACTGTTTTTGGCTCTTTCATCCATTTCTTCCCTGGTTCTAAATGTGCTTATCCTTTCTCTTGGTTCACCAACCTGATGATATTACTGACTGCTTGTGTTAAATGAGGGTCTTCAGTCCTCCCTTTGCTTTTCCTCCTAGTGTAATAGTTTCACGTTTTTCCTATTTCGTTCACATTCATTGTTTTCACTGTTATTGCCAGTAGGTGTTGCTTACTTATGAGGCACACATGGAGACAAGTATGTTTTCTTTCTTTTATAACTTTTTTCTCCAAGGTCATAGTTAATTGTTTTTATTCTTTCATTTCATTGTTTTGAGTCTCTTGTTGAATCTATCCTCTCTAGACTGTTTTCACATGATTGCACCTATTGATTCCAGTTTTTCTTACTGGGGTTGTTCCTGCTGGAGCCCTATGTCCTCCTGCTCATCTGAACTGGTTTCTCCCTAGACCACAGCTGTTGTCCCGAGACCTGCCTTGCTGTCATTCTGGGATGTCTCTTAACCTGTCTTCTGTTCATTTGCTTTTAAGTAACAGAATGCTTGGACTCACTCTGGCTCAGACAATGAGGATAAATATAATCTTGTGTTATGGGAACTTCAGGAAGGGTGGGCTTCAGGTTCTCTTCTTTGCAGTTCTCCAGGCTTTGTCTTCCTGCTCTGCTAACTTCATCATCACACTAGTAGCAAGATGGTTGCAGTTCTTTGGGGCATCACATCCAGAATTGATAATGTCCAAAGAAAGAAAAAGGACGAACATTTCCTGTGACTCTTTCTTAGGAGCAGCGGAACTTTTCTTAGATGCCCACTAGCATCTCATCAGTGTCCAGTCTTATTTTCAGAATTGATTCACATGCTCATTCTTTTTTTTTAATTAATTTTTTTTGGAATATGGTGGCTCAGTGATAAAGAATCCGCCTGCAATGCAGGAAATGCAGGAGATGCAGGTTCCATCCCTGGGTCTGGAAGATCTCCTGTAGGAGGAAATGGCAACCTACTCCAGTATTCTTGCCTGGAGAAATCCCATGGACATGGGAATTTCCATGGACAGAGGAGCCTGGTGGGCTACAGTCTATGGGGTCCCAAAAGAGTTGGACCCAAGGACTTAGTGACTAAACAACCACAGTAGTTGCTTCTACAGTGTTGTGATGGTTTCTGCTGCACAGCAAAGTGAATCAGTGTCCATGCTCATTCTTAAAGGACTTTCTAGAAGTGAGGATGGCAAGGATAACTGTGAACAGCCTAGACTAACTGGAATCAACATTTGGANATGCCATGATCTTAGTTTTCTGAATGTTGAGTTTTAAGCCAATTTTTTCACTCTCCTCTTTCACTTTCATCAAGAAACTCTTTGGTTCTTCATCGTTCTGTGTGATAAGTTTGGTGTCATCTGCATATCTGAGGTTATTGATATTTCTCCCAACAATATTGATTCCAGCTTGTGCTCCATCCAGTCCAGCATTTCTCAGGGAATTAATCCCTTTATAAATCAGGGTTTTCTTAGAAGTGTAATAGATTTTGGAGAAGCTGCTAATAATATCAAGTAAAGGAGATAAAAATTTTAAGACTCTGCATGAATGAAAATGTCTCCATTGTACCTTCACATTGGATTTGTAGTTTTGCTAGGGCTAGAATTTTAAGTTGAAAGTCATTTTCTCTCAGAAACTTGAAGCATTGCTCCATTGCCTGCTCATGTCCAGTGTTACCCCTGACTGTATCTAGGCTTCATCCTTTGCCTCTGACCTAATCCCTCTTCTGTCTAAATTAGAGGTGATTGTAAATTCCCCAGAGGCCTTTTGGGTGACTTTCAAGACTCTGTGTTTATTTCTTTCCCTTGGGGTGGTAGATAAATCAGTGGACCAGCAGTGACAAACCTACGTTTTAGTGTCTTCCAGTCCATAAGATCTTGGACAAGTCACCTAATCTCATCCGTGTCTAATAGATTTTAGGAATCCCTTCTGAAAGTGAATTTCAGAAACTATTTGATCAGCACACATCTGTTTAATAACTGCCTGGAGAAGTTTTGCTTTAAGACAGTTGTGCTAAGTTTCCCTGTAACAAGGAGAAACTTGAATGATTACTTTCACTGACTCTAAGCAGTGTCAGATAAGCTTTTCAATAATATCCATTTAAGAAATGATCATAGCTTATAAGGAGAGTCCTCACCATGAGCTTTTATTTGAGGCTTAAAGATATGGGTTGTGTTTGCCATCTGCTCTCTGACCTGGCTCTTTCTGCCTCCACCTTTCCATCTTACACACAGACACACATATATGCACTCCCTATCCTCTCTTTCTCTGTTCCTTCTCCCACTTCTTCCCTCTCCTTCCCATGGAAGAGTGGTGAAAGATAGTCTCGAGTTAGAACCTAACTATAATACAGCTCCTTCAGGTGATTATGGAAGAGTGGTCACATCATTTACCTTGATGCTGCTCTAAGAACTACCATGCTGTGTGCTAAAGTCGCTTCAGATGTGTCCGACTCCTTGTGACCCCATAGACTGTAGCCTGCCAGGCTCCTCTGTCCATGGGATTCTGCAGGTAAGAACACTGGAGTGTGTTGCCATTTCCTCCTCCAGGGGATCTTCCCATCAGGGGTCAAACCTACACTGGCAGGCAGGTTCTTTACCACTAGGGCCACCAAGAACTTCCATAATCATTGCTAAAGTAGAGACTACATATGATGAGAAATTCAGCAGTTGTTTGTCCTGAGATGTGTTAATGAGTCTTTTGGGGCAACAGATATAATGTAGCTATATTTTATAGCTGTATTTAAGAAGCATCTTTAGCTAGCTATATTATATATACTACATATTATATGTATTATATGTATATAAAGCAAAAGAAAAAAGCTGTCAGCAAAGCAGTGTTTAAATGAGGGGAGTTTGTGGCATTTAGCAGGCTTTCATTTTTTTTATAAAAATTTTTTTATTAAAGCACAGCTTGCTTAGAGAAAAATATGCTATTAACTACATAGTTAAATAAGCACAGAGTGATACAGCAACCTCCCAGATTGACAAATGTAATCCTATATACATTTCAAAAGCCAGCCTATGCCCCTTCTTAGGCACAAACCCCCTCTTCTTCCCTCAAGTGGACTTTAAAACCATAGGTTACTTTTGTCTATTTGTGTTTTTTTGTTTTCTTTAAATTTAGTTATTTTAATTGGAGTTTAATTACTATACAGTATTGTAGCAGGCTTTCAGTAAAGGATGGATGGATAGATGGGTGGATAATGAATGGACAGATGGACTGACAAATGAATTAATCTCATTTTTAGAAAGGTCATTGTAAAGTCTGGATTGTAGAGGTAAGGCTGGAGGTGAAAACATCAGTTAGGACTAATCCAGTTGAAGTGATAAAGTCTGTATTTGTCTTAAAATGAAGAAAGTTCACTTTTTTGATACCCCACTGCTGTTCACTTCACTTTGGGTCTTGTGAGCACTTGAAGGGTAACAAAAAAACTATCTAGGTTAGCAGGCACTGGTTTCTACATGCTTCCTTCCTAGTCTTTTCCCACCCACTTCTTCACCTGTTCTTTGTGTTCCTTTAGTTTTCTTTGGAGGTAAAGGCTATTCTTAGTGCTTTGCAATGTGAGTTTTGGTCTATGTATTCTGAGAGTGTCAGCATTCTTTTCACCTCCCACCTCTAGCACCCACCCTTAGAAAGGTATTATTTGTCTGTTGCTGGATTCTTAGAGGAGATTAAAGAAATTTCTATTATCCTTTTTTCTCTGTTGTGTTCAGCCTTTGGGCTTTTTAGCTTTTAGCTGATAAAAGAGTAAATCTTACACATTTATCAAATGAAACAATGTTATGAGAAAAGCTCCTGATAAACTTAAAATAAGAATACTAGGGTTTCAGAAATCACTGTGAATCTGGTCGTCTTGGCCATTTTAGCAGTAGAGTGCAATTACGTTGAAGTTTGTAATAAAAGCTGCATAATCCCGAACTGCTTTAGATTTATCAAAGATTATACTGTATGCAGCTGTTGGGGAGGAAGAATTTGTTCTTGGTTCTTTGGCTGATTTAATAACCACATTAATATAAGGCAGATTAACTGGAGAAAAGCAAATTTAATTATGTACCTACAGGGGCCCCAGAAGAATATGAGAGCCAGTGAGGCAGTTGAGGCTTCTCTACCGTCCTGAGCTAAGGAATGGGATAGGAGACTGGGGCTTCAAAGAGGAGGAGGGTAATTGATGGGAAAATGGGAAAAACAGATATTTGGTAATTAGATTGTTTGTCTTGCCATATGCATAGGTCATTCTGATAAAAGTTCTCTCTGGTAATAGTCTGTCTCCGAGCCAGCACCCCTATACCCATCTAAATTCTTTTCGGCCATTGAAGGGGGAGATAGAAAGATCTTCCTGAGCCTTTTGGACCTACACTGTCTTCAACTCAAGAGAGTCTGCACGCCAAAGTGGCACATTTTGTTCTGAATACCTTCACAGCATTGTCTTTGTATTACTGTACTTCAGTTCAGTTCAGTCGCTCAGTAGTGTCCGACTCTTTGCGACCCCATGAACCACGGCACATCAGGCCTCCCTGTCCATCACCAACTCCTGGAGTCCACCCAGACTCATGCCCGTTGAGTCGGTGATGCCATCTAACCATCTCATCCTCTGTCATCACCTTCTCCTCCTGCCTTCAATCTTTCCCAGCATCAGGGTCTTTTCCAATGAGTCAGCTCTTCGCATCAGGTGGCCAAAGTATTGGAGTTTCAGCTTCAACATCAGTCCTTCCAATGAACACTGTACTTCATGATATCCCAATTCTTTAAAAGTTTTAGCTTCAAGCATATGTATTAGGTGGTAGACTGGTGCCTTAGGAAACAGATTCTGAAATTTGAGTGTCAAGAGTTTTATTGAGGAATACTTTCACCATCAACACCCGGGCAGGACTGGGCTCTCCTGGGCTGCGTTACAGTTGTAAGACTTCAGCCAACCCTGCAGAGAGCCCGGTCAGGGGTTGGTCCTTCAGAGTCACCTCAGCTTGAGGTGAGAGAGCCAGACTTTTATGCCTTTTTTTATCTATTGTTCCATAACAAATTTCCCCCTAAAACATAGCAACTTAGCACAGCAACTGTTTATTATCTCATAATTCCTGTGGGTCAGGAACCCAAGCTGAGTACCTCACAGTCTCTCACAGGCTTCATCCAAGTATTGGCCAGGTAGCAGTCACTTCAAGGCTTGACTGGGACCACCCACTTCCCAGCCCTCTCACAAGCTGTTGGCATACCTCAGAATATCCACTTCCAAGATCATTCACACAGCTGTTGGTTGGGCTCCAGACCCTCACTGACTTGTTGACCAGAGCCATTGGTTTCTTTGCATGTGGACCCCTCCATAGGGCAGCCCACAATATGGCCACTGGCTCCCTTTAGAGCAAACAGGGAAGAAAGTGAGAGTGCCCAAGTCAGGCCACAGTCTCCTGTAATCTAATCTCAAAAGTGACATACCATAATTTTTGTCGTATTCTATTCATTAGAAGCAAGTCCCTTGGTTCAACTCACAGTCAGAGAAGGAGAATCACACAAGGACATGGACGCCAGGAGGCAGGGGATCTTTGGTGGCCATCTTTGAAACTGCCTACCAACCCCTGTAGCAGCCAGTCCACTGGATACAGGCTGCCCAAGATGGGAGGTGACCTTGGGTGAAACAGCTTTCTTCAGCTGCAGAAGTTCCCAAAGATAGCACATAGCTGAGGGTTGCTCTGATAGTTGGGGCAGTCTGAATGGGATTTGGATGGTACCAAACAGCATCCATGGGCTTTCCAGGTGGCGCTAGTGGTAAAGAACCTGCTTGCCAATGCAGGAGACCCAGGGTTCGATCCCTGGAGAAAGGCATGGCAACCCACTCCAGTATTCTTGCCTGGAGAAATCCATGGACAGAGGAGCCGGTGGGTTACAGTCCATAGGGCTGCACAGAGTTGGACATGACTGAAACAATTTAGCATGCACACATGTGAACAGTATCAACTTTAGTATGTATAGCTCTTTTTTAACTAGGATATTTAATAAGCCAGAATTTCTCTGTCTTGTTATTTAAACTGTGCAAACTGTGTATTATTTCCTTATCTGTTTTTGTGGCTTTGTTTCTTACACTCTTGGAAACATCCTTTATATATGTTACTTTACAGAGTATATTACATTCTTTACAGAGTATAATACATTCTTTCACTGGAAAACATTTAAAAAAAAACAAAACAAAACTGTTTTTAAAGGAGAAATTATATTATACCGTGTATCAAAATCACTCTTTTTTGGGTATAGAAGTTCATTTTAAAATTTTCAGCAAGCAGCATACAACTAAATATTTCTTAACTTAAAATGAATAATTGTTAAAAAGCATTTTAACTGAGCTAAAAGATAGATCCTAAATGCAAAAGCATTTTCAAAACAGTATTTACCCTTTTTCTAGATATGTAATATTGATAATAAGAGATTAGGAACAATGGATTTCTTTTTCAGATTACAAATTTTAATTGAATAAAGTTATACAGATTTCTATTTTGTCTTTAATCTTCTAATTTCTTTCAATTTTCAAGCGTGGTTTTCTTTGTCTCTCTCTTTCTTTTAACTTTATTTTTTAGGTGAAGAAGACCAGGTCCCTGATTCTGTCACATTTCTTTATCAAATAACCAGAGGAATTGCAGCAAGGAGTTACGGACTCAATGTGGCTAAACTAGCAGATGTTCCTGGAGAAATTTTAAAGAAAGCAGCTAGCAAGTCCAAAGAGCTGGAAGGATTAGTAAATATGAAAAGGTCAGAATGATTGTGCTAGATTTTTGATTTATAATGAACTCTTCCAAGTTGTCCCAGGAAGAGGATTGTCCTGTAAATGAACATCAGACCTTCCTTCAAGCACCTCTTCAAACATTCTGAAACATTCAATTATGGTAAAATGACAATGGCCCTTCCCAAAGCCCACGTGAACTCCTTTAGGCCTCTCTAGTCGGTTCTTCCTCTGTCAAGTTGCTCGGTTGGTTTCCAGTCACTTCTCTAAAGAAGTCACTCCTTAATGTGGACCGGCACATTGGGCGCCCGGAACACTCATTCATGAAGAGTGCTGCTAATGGAAACCTCAGTGTATAGACAGTGTTTGGAGTATTTCTTTATACTCTTTTATGCTCATTCAGATATGCAGCAGTTGCATTCAGAAGTGAAGGATTCTGTCAGGACATGAATGAAAATAATAGTGCTGGGTTAACCAAAAAGTTCTTTAGGTTTTTACATAACATCTTACAGAAACACCTGAATGAACTTTTTGGTAAAGTCAGTATCACAGAGCTAGATGATTAGAGTCAGTATCTGTGCACGTCACTTACTTTGTGGATTTGTTTGTGACAGATTTTTTATTCTAAACAGACTTCTCCATCACCTAGAATGCTTTATGTAATGCACTTTTACCCTGGACATCCAGCGAGTGTGTAGTTAGTATATAAATTGATTGTCATACAAACCTGAAACATACTTTGGAAGGAAGATATTCCTAGGAAAATATCCTATTAATAAATAATAAATTGCAGCCTTTTGTTCCCCAAATATAAGATTATATTTTAAAACAGCATAAACTCCTTGCCCACCTCCGACCCCACCCTGTTCTGCCTGAAGAGTCCAATTGACCTGGGGCAGGGCATTATTGCTCTGGTCCATGACCATGTGATCTAGAGCAAATAGAATAGGCTGTTAGTCAGATAGAACATCCTGGCTGGCCATTATGCTGTAAGAATATTTTTTAGTTCTGGGAATTATTACCAATTTAAATATTGAAATATTAACACCTGATATTTTAGTTAAAGAGACAGTTGCCAGCTTGCATACTGATAGTCCTGCAACCAGCTCCTCTTTTCTTTCTTGCTCTGTGTTTCTGCCTGGCACTCCTAACCTTACCATGGTAACAGGTGGTGGGCCGGGTCCAAAGTGCTGGAATACTAGAGCACTTTGTCGTTTCCTCCGGTAAGGAGACACAGATGTAAAGAACAGACTTTTGGACTCAGTGTGGGAGAAGGCGAGGGTAAGATGATTTGACAGAACACCATTGAAACATGTACATTACCATATGTAAAATAGAGGACCAGTGCAAATTAGATGCATGAAGCAGGGTACCCAGAGCCAGTGCTCTGGGACAACTCAGAGGGATAGGGTGGGAGAGACTGTGGCCGATTCATACTGATATATAGCAAAAACCATCACAATATTGTAAAGTAATTATTCTCCAATTAAAATAAATTAATTAAAAAATAAGGGAAAAAATATTTTGGCTCTTCCAACTAGTATATTATATTTTAAAATCTAGAAAGTTAGCTTAACAAGACAGAGAATTGTAGGAAGAGGCTGCATTGGCATGGCATCTGATGATCTATCAGGACACACTGTATTTGTTGTTTTTCCTTTTTCACTAAAAGTGGTTATCACATCGATTTCATTGGTCACAGAACCCAAACTGAATCTGGTGCATCCTTGTGAGTTTGTTAATAGCTAATATTTATTGAGTGCTTGCTGTGGATACCAGCAAGTTTAGGTAATCAGTCCTTTGCAGCAGCCTAGACACTGTAGCCAGCTACTATTCTTATTGCTTTACGTACATTAATTCACTTAACCCTTATAATAACCTTGTGAAATAGGTACTGCTCTCATCCTATGTTGTAGTTGGGGAAAATGAGACCAAGTGAGGGTAGGAATCTGACCGGGAAACCAGGGTCATCCAGCTAGTTGGTGGTAGAGCGATGTTTGGAACTCACACATTCCCTCTTCAGACCCTAAATATTGGGTTGGTCAAAAAGTTCATTCAGGTTTTTCCATAAGATGTTACTATTTAACTGGATTGCATTTTTGCAGAAGGAAAAGTAGGTCTGTGTTATGTTGGCATTTTACTTTTCCAATAGCCTGCATTATTTTATTAAGTCAGTTTCACTTTTCATCCTGTGAGCACACACAGCCTCCAGCTGAGTTAGAAGAGGGAGGAAGCTGTGCCATCCCCTCCCTGGAGCTGATCAGCAATCTTGGTCTCTTGATTAAAGCAGCCACCCTGAGAACTACTTTCACTGATGCTGATGCTCCCCGACATAGCCTCCTAACCATACAGCCTGCCTGCTATTCTAATATCACAGACTTTTCTTAGTTTTGATAGGATGGACTGGCCCCTAACAATTCCATTTATAAAAGAAATGGTATTTTATTTTCTGTCCAGGAAAAAGCTAAAGTGTTTTGCGAAGCTTTGGACGATAGATGATGCAAAAGGCTTGCAAAAGTGGACAGAAGAAGAAATTACAGACTTCTCTTTGTGATGAAAATGAAGGCTATGTTTTGGAACCAAAAAGTAGAGAATTAAAAATGCCAACTGTGTGAAAACAACTCTCCAGTAACAGCCCATCTTTGTGTGATGTGAGCATAAAGCCTGACCATGGCATATTCCTATCAGAAACAGGGAGGCCTTTTGTGTAGGTTCCTGCTATCCTGATTTTTAAAAGTATAAACACTTTTGAATATTAAGATTCCTATCATGTTATTAGAAAATCTCATGGATGGTAAGATTCAAATAAAATAAAAAGCTTCTAAGTAAAATCGGAAGTAGACTGTACAGTTCATGAAGTTTTAGAGGCTGATATAAAAAGTAATGCATGATTTTATTTGTTTCAGTTCAGATAATTTGCAGCTGGGTGAAATGTCTAGCAGGAATACACCTTTTATTCGAACTGAAATAATTTCATCATACTACCAGTTTATTCACTGTGAGCCTAAGAATTTTTGAAAAGAAATAGAATCGTCAGGCTGTTTAGAAACTAGAGCACATGAAATTTGAGAAGTTAAATATTGTCATAGTTTTAAGCAATTTGGAGATTGTTGGATGAAATTATTTGTCATTCATTTAAGTAATAAACATTGATGAGTACTTGCTATAATTTATGATCTTTTTCCTATTGAATTTGGGGTTTAGTTATGGAACCACGGTTGCTGCTCTTCCCGTGTGCACAGAACTGAGCTTTCTCACTTTCGACCTTTCTACTATTTGATACAGCAAATACCTTTTACCTGTGTTGATTCATAAAAGCACTCCCTCCCTGCAAGGTTAGGGTGACACATGATCATCTATGTCCCTGAACTTTCTATAGTACTTGAAACCGGGCTTCTCATATGCTTTATGTTCCTTGCACAAAGGTTCTCTATCCTACTTCCCACTCAGTTTTCATTCTTACTCAGTGAAATGCCTTCCACACATTTGATGGTCATATTTCTAATTTCTTCTTTAGGTTATTTCATAACAGTGACCTTAACAGTGAGCCCTGGAGACAGTCAGTTGAGTCTCTCCAAGTTGATGAATAGTGGTTGGTTGCTACACTTAAAAAAAAAAAGTTATTTATTTATTTGTGCCAGGTCTTAGTCGTGGCATGTGGGATCCAATTCCCTAACCGGATCGAACCCAGACCCTTGCATTGGGAGCAGGGAGTCTTAGCCGCTGGACCACCGCTACACTTTTAAGTCACTTGCACTCCAGCCCTGTAATTCCCTACCTTTATGGAGTTAGAATATGATATGGTTTGATTCCTCCATCCTCTCGTTATATGTTTCATTAACCTATAATGAAATTCTCAAAAATAGCTCAAAATAGAGTTAGTTGGGGTTTACTCTTTGAATTTTAAAAATAACTGCACTTTTAAAACAATGTTTCAATACTCAGTAAGACTGTTAGTGTTTTATGTTAACAGAGGTAGTGCTGTAAAGGCAGGTCCGCAGAAAAAGGAGATGAGTTCAGGACTGTCACACCCATGCTGGGGAGCTGCAGGGACCAGCGGTCACTGCTCGTGTCCAGGTGGACATTCCGGGCCATCTCTGGCTTGCCCAGGTCAGGGTCAACATTCAAGCAGGTAAGGGTTTCAGGAGTAGTGTGTCCAGGCAGTGACAGTCCACAGAGTCTGGCAAGTGACAATGCAGAAAGTTGCAAGGTAGATTCCCTAACATAAAGCAGGATATCAGCTAGCCGGTTTGCAGGAGGTCAGGCCTGCCTCCAAGTTTGGAAGAAGACCAGCTGTGCCAGACAGCCTTTCTAAGTGAGGCTCCTTCCCAGCCAAGGCGCTGAGGTGTTGAAGGGAAAGTTGTGTCAGAGTTCTCGATATGATGGTTGTGCATGTGTCGTGGAGGTTGGCAGTAAAGATGATTGATTGGGTACATACTCCAGGCATCAAACGTAAGGAGGGCTGCAGTTCTAACATTAGATGTGATGTATTTGAGATCCTGAGTTGATTTCCTTTAGTTATATACCTGGAAGTGGGACTGCAGGATCATATGGTAGTTCTAGTTTTTATTTCTTAAGCACCCTCCATAGTGTTGTCCATAATAGCTATACCAGTTTACAGTCTCACCAACAGGATACAAGGGTTCCCTTTTCTCTGCACTTTCATCAGCACTTGTTACTGCTTGTTATCATCCTAACAGGTGTGAGCTGATACATCATTGTGGTTTATTTGCATTTCTCTGATGATTATGGTCAGTTTTAGAACACTTTTATCTCCCCCCAAAACCCATTCTCATTAGCAGTTACTCTCCATTCCTCCCCCAAATCCCTACTCCTAGACAGTCACTAATCTACTTTCTGTCTCTATCAGTTTGCTGTTTTTGGACATTTCATATGAATGGAATTGTATACTATGTGGTCCTTGGTATCTGGCTTCTTTCATTTGGCTTACTGTTTTCAAGATTCATGTTATAGCATGTAGCAATACTTCATTCATCTTTATTACTAAAATCTATTCAGTTATATGTATATATCACATTTTGTTATCAGTTCATCAGCTGATACACATTTAGACTGTTTCCATTTTTTGGCTTTCATGAAGAATTTTGCTGTGAGCATTCATATGCAGATTTTATGTGGTAAGGTACAGGATTTTTTTTTTTTTTAAATTCTCCCCAGTCTAAAGTGCAGTCTGGTTTGTGAACCACTAGTCTCATAGATTATGAGTGACTAAATGGTATTTTTCATTGGATTGACAAATCATTTGATCTCTGTCTCCTGTGCTTAATCTATCATTTAGACAAAGTATGGCATACTATAGAACCTCAATAAATATTTGTTGAAATAGAAAAGAACAACCAAACCTTTTCATATTAGAAACCCAGTGAAATGACTCTTCATAATCAAGATACTATTTCACTAAGGATTCCAGATATGTACAGAAGTGTCCTAAATCTTAAAACAAAAAAATAAAAATTTCTGACAGTTTGCCCAAGTGGAGCTTGTTGTCTTGGTGGTAGTGGTAATGCAGCTGGTGAAACGGTGCTCACTGCATGAATTCCAGAGGAAAAACGAGATTGAAGCTTGCAGTCTACAAGTTAATGTTGACCTTTCCCATGTTCCAAGATCAATATTAATTACTGCTGAGCCACGTAATTATAAAAGTGCCATTTGATGTCTCACACCAAGAACATGAGTAGGGAGAAAAAAGAAATTGGATTAATACCCTCTGTAGTTTCTAAGTTTGTAATTACCATCAGGTCCTCTTTGGAACATTGAAGTTAGGATAGATGATTATTGTTATTGTATTAGTGTCCAGAGAGGTATTGCCATTACGGGGATATTCATTCTGGTTTGCCTGGGGTGAATCTCGGACATCCTGGTCTATACCTGTTTTCCTGGTATACTTATTAAAAGCCTTTTTCACTCAAAAGTGTCCTATTGTACCCAAACCTGTTCATCTTTGGGAGACACCTCACTTTCTGAGATAACAAGATTTCCAGTCTCATCTTGTACATTTTCTGTGCAGACCTGGAATAGAATATTTCTCAAAGGAGTCCCGACCATGTTGAGTGATAAATGACATCTGGCGGCCACAGTTTGGGTGTTAGAGGTGTCAGTGCTTTGGGATTGGTCATTGTTTCTTAGCCTGTTCAGTGGAAAGAAGTAGGAATTTTGTAAGAAAAATTATGCCATGAGTTCAAACTGAATCATCTGGGAGTTCCCTGGTGGTCCAGTGGTCAGGCTCCACCCTTTCAGTGCCGAGGGTCCAGATTCAATCCCTAGTCGGGGAACTAAGATCCTACAAGCTACAGGACATAGCCCTCTCCCCAAAAAAGTATCCTGTTCTGAATAATAAATTTCATGGTTACCCTAGCTTTAAGTGCCAATTCATGGACACACTCACCAACTTGATAGATTTTGAATGTGACCTTTAAAAGTTGATTTTTTAAACCCATTGTATGAACTGATTTTTATCTGAAAGTTCTGCCAATTAATTTTACGTGTTCATAATAAATGCTTTGCATGCATATGTGCTAAACTACTTCAGTCAGTCCTGTCTGACTCTTTGCAACCCTGTGGACTGTAGCCTGCCAGACTCCTCTGTCCATGGGATTCTCCAGGCAAGAATACTGGAGTGGGATGCCATGCCCTCCTCCAGGGGATTATGGCATTTAGAAATTACAACTCTGGTAACTGGCATGTTAGAGCTTTACTACCTAATCTATTTAGGAGACTAAATCCCCAAAGATGACTTTGTCATCTGCCTTGTTTTCATGAAATCATGGTGAAGAATGTGTAGTATATGATCACGAGACATGTCGTAGGCTAGTCCTCTGGTAGAAATAATTATTAATCTCAGAATGAAGAACTCTTTTCTCTAGTTGTTTTGTCTTTTGTTCAAATCATCCTTTCATTGCCTTTGACTATGTCCTTTTTCTTCTTTAACATTCAGAACCTTTTATTTTCTGCATCAGAAATATTATGTGTGATTTTAGCTTCCTTTTCAGCCTCATGCTCCGTTTTTTTCCAGAAAACTTTACTTCCATGAAGCTCTTTCATATATATATATATATATATATGCTCTTTTTCCTATTCTTTTCCATTAGTATTGAATATAGTTCTCTGTGCTATACAGTAGGACCTTGTTGTTTATCCATCCTGTGTACAATAGTTTGCATCTGCTAATTCCGAACTCCAATCCTTTCTTCCCCTATCCCTCCCTCCCCTTTGGCGACCTCACATCTGTTCTCTGTGAGTCTGTTTCTGTTCATTTGTGTCGTATTTTACATTCCACATATAAGTGATAACGTGATATTTGTCTCTTTCTGACTTCTCTTAGTATAATAATCTCTAGGTCCATTCACATTGCAAATGGCAGTATTTCATTCTTCTTTGCATGCTAAGTCGCTTCAGTCGTGTCCAACTCTGTGTGACCTTGTGGACTGTAGCCTGCCAGGCTCTTCTGTCCATGGGACTCTCCAGGCAAGAATACTGGAGTGGGTTGCCATTTCCTCCTCCAAGTGATCTTCCTGACCTAGGGATCGAACCCGCGTCTCTTAACCCACGTCTCCTGCATTGGTCGGCGGACTCTTTACCGTTCTTCTTTATGACTAAGAGTCCCTGTATATATATACATATGTGTTCTATGTGCTATGCTTAGTCACTCAGTCATGTCCAACTCTTTGCAACCTCTTGGACTGTAACCCACCGGGTTCCTCTGTCCGTGGGGATTCTCCAGGCAAGAATACTGGAGTGGGTTGCCGTGCCCTCCTCCAGGGGATCTTCCCGACCCAGGGATGGAACCCAGGTCTCCCACATTGCAGGTGGCTGAGCCACCAGGGAAATGTATGCATACACACACAATTTTATAGTATTTATAGTATAGTATAGTATAGTATTTATAGTATAGTATTTTTTATCCATGTATCTGCTGATGGATATTTAGGTTGTTTTCATGTCTTGGCTACTGTAAATAGTACTGCTGTGAACACAGGAGTGCATATACCTTTTCAAATTACATTTTTGTCGGTTATACGCCCAGAAGTGGGATTGCTGGATCATATGGTAAGTCTATTTTTAGTTTTTTGGGCCAACCTCTTTACTGGTTTCCAGTGGTGGCTGCACCAGTTTACATTCCCACCAGCAGTGGCAGAGCATTCCCTTTTC